GGGAGGGGCTCCGGGAGGCGGGATCCGCTGCACCCCTTTCCCGGTGCCGACGCCAGCCGCCGCCCGCACAGGCCTGCGCCCGGCCTCACTTCCCACCCCGCCGCCCCGCGTGCTGCCAGCCCGGAAGCGGTGTCGGGCGTCGGCCCCCAGAAAGACTGTTCCTCCGCGCTCGCCTGCACTCGGGGCGCCGGTCTTCCCCCGGCCTGAGGCCCAGGCCGAGGCCGGGGCGCGGGCAGGGCCCTGCCGGCCCGCCGGACTCGCGGCCCCGGGCACCAGGCCTCCCTTCCTGTCGCGGCCCACCGCGCCCCGTGACCCTCACGTGCCTTTCCACACTCCGGGCGCTGGGCCCTGCGAGTGGGCCGAACTGAACCCCCGGACCCCTCTTTTGCAGCTCCCGTCCCTCCCCGGCCCCTCTTAGCTGACCTCCCACTGCTTTCCCCGGTTTTGCTTCCTGACTGCCCACAGCACTGGTTTTAACCTGGGCTGTAGACCCTGGGAGCCGGCTGTCCGGGGATGGTTTGCAGAAAAGACTTTATGCACTTCTGAAACTATAAACTGCACTGCGAGATGGGTTTGGTGTATGTTCATTTTCTGGGAGAGTCCATGGTTTTTATCAGATTCTGTATAAAATACGGTGTGAGCCACACATGTGTGAGCCACACATGTGATTTTACAAGTAAAAAGAAACAGGTGAGATGGATTTAGTAATAGGTTTTCTTTAACCTAATATATCTAAAATATGGTCATTTCAGCCTGTAATCAATATAAAAATTTTGATGAGATATTTTACATTTTTTTCGTAGTAAGTCTTTGAAATTTGGTGTACGTTTTACACTTACACTGCACCTCAACTTGGATTGTCCACATTTCAGATGGCCCATAGCCACATGCAGCTAGTGGCTACCATATTGGACAGCACAGGCCTAAGGGTTTCAGTCCAAACTTCTTGCCATGGTTTTCAGTGTTTATCACAGTCTGGCCTCTCCTTTTTTTTCCTGCTAATGGCCCAAGGAACGTTATACCCTTATCACTCAAGCCACTTGCCATTCCCTACACAGCTTTGTTCAAGCTGTTCTGCCTGGAATGTTCTCTCCTGCACTGCCTCTCCAGGCTTGGTAGGGAGATGCAGCTTCTGCTGAGAGGCTTTTCCTGACTCCCCTAACCTCTGGAGGGATTTATCACTGCTTCCTCAGTGCTTCCTCCCTACATTCCTGGCTGAATTAGACCGCTTAACACATGGTGTTTGTTTTGAGGCTGTCTCTATGACTAGCATAGTGTCCTATTCATCTTTTTGTGATCGTGGCTGGCATCTAATAGTTGATCAGTAGATGTTTGCAGACAGAAGGAGTAAGCCACTAACTAGCTATACTCAATCTCTTAATTCTTGAATGGACCTGTTACTTCCTTGTTTGGGAGATTTGTCCCTGTACTACCCCCTCACATTAATGTACACACACACACACACACACACACACACACACACACACACACAGAAGGGGTAACTTAGGAGGAATGCATCTCAAGATGTACACAGAAAGTATCTTCTACCTTTTACCCTCTCCTGATCTTAGGGATGGGAAAACTGAGGTACAGAATTAAGTTAGAATGGCCAGCAAATTTGCATCAATATGAATATAAATAGGGGGGTTCCTTGGAAGGAGGGCAGTGGTCTCAGAGTTAGGTTCCTCAGGCATCAGCTGGCCCCACTTTGGTCATTTGATAGGAGGGAAGAGAAGTGGGGAGGTGGGGAGTAACTCCTGGGCCCTGATGCCGATTCTAGGCAGCTTCAGGTCTGGGAAACTGAGGATTGTCACTGCTGGAGAAAAAGTTGAAGAGCAGACCCGTCATTTCAGATCATGAAGAGACCTGGCCTGGGCAGGGTAGGAGAGAACCTGTAGGGTAGAAGGAAGTGCTGGGGAAGCCAGCAGAGGGAGCAAAGGTGTAAACTCCTTGGAGAAGATGGTGTGACGTTGGGAATAACCACTTCTTCGGGAGTAGTGCCATTCTCCGTCTGCAGAACGGGAAATGGAAAAAATCAGAGATTCAGAGAAGGCAAGCAGCTTACCCGAAGTCACACAGTTCTTAAGCCTAAATGAAGCCTCCTGAACCCTCCCCATCACACTTACCCTGCCTCACCCACACCTCTATTGCAATCAGGGGCCCCAACATGGTGCCTGAGAGAACAGGTGTGCAGCGCAGTGCCAGGTCTGATTAATGTCTTCCTCGCCATCTTCTGCTGAGGGGCTGTGATTAGGCCTATTTATAGGGGCCCGGTGCCTTAATATTCTGCCTGGTACATCCCTTGCCAATCAAATCAGTGCTGTCTGCAGTGTGATTGCTGCTTTAGTGGCACCAGGGAGCGGAGTTAATTAAACCCAGTATAAATAGACTCTGCCCTCATCTTGCAATTCGAAGGAGTGTTTTTCCTTCTTGTCCCCCGCCCCCACATGTCCCTCCTTCCTCCCGGCCCCCCCTTAGCTCTAGCCTCGGGGAGCAGAGCCCAGACACTGGTGTACGCAGAGTCACCAGCCACTACCTATCCTGTCTCAGGAACAGGTCCTGAGTTCTTCGGGGTCAAAGTGGGAAGAATTCAGGAGTCCACATTTTCTGTGCTTTTCCAGACTTGGCTATCATTTGGCAGTTGACACAGGCATTTTTCCCCCAAAATCCATCCCTCTGCTCCCAGCCTCTTTTGAACTCTGCAGCCAGGGTTTCTTTCTTGTTCATCCAGGCTCAGGAGTTTGAAATGAGATAATGTACAGAAAGGGTGCCTAGCAGAGCAGCAAGCACCTTCTCTGACTGCTTCTCTTCAGCCTCCATTGTCCCTACCAATTTCCTTTCCTCATTCACGCAGCAAGCATCTACAGAGTACCAGCTCCTGGGAGCTCCTGGCCTCCCACCCAGTGCCCTGTCCTCCACTCCCCAGCCTGCACTGGCTGAACATGTGGCAGACAGTTGGGGTGGGGGGCTGGGCTCTCTTCTCCCAGCACTTTGCCCAGTGGTGGGTGAATGTGGGCGGTCCTCATGCTCTGGTTCCCTCCCGCAGGCACCATGACTCCCATGAGGACCCAGCACTCGTTGGCGGGGCAGACCTATGCAGTGCCGCTCATCCAGCCAGACCTGCGGCGAGAGGAGGCCATCCAGCAGGTGGCAGATGCCCTTCAGTACCTGCAGAAGGTCTCTGGAGACATCTTTAGCAGGTGGGTGCTGCCACCGACCCGCACTTGATTGGGGGCTGGGCGGTGGGAGTGCACCCTCTAGGAGCAGCCCTTTTGGTGATTCTTGGTCTTGGAGGGACCCAGCTGGCTTCCCTGTGCCCAGGGGGCCCAAGGTAGGAGCCCAGCTTAGAAACTTTTTCTCTTAAGTGCTCATAGGAACTCAGTGCATGCTATCCCACTGAGCCCCTGGGGGGCCTGTGCCCTCGCTCATTCCTGCAGTCAGCAAATATTTATTCAGTGCTTCTTATGTGTGCAAGGCACTGTGCTGCACTCTTTAGTTACTTACAGCAGTGGGTAAGGCAGTGTCCCTGTCCCAACCAGAGAGTGTGTGGGTTTCCCTCACTGTCTGAAAGGTCACGTTCTGCCACTTTGCTTTTATGAAGGACGTACGCTTGTACCTGTGTTTGCTAACGAAAGAAATCCAAAGTGGGTTCTCACTTGTATGAACTGGTAGTTGCTTCTTCGCTGCACACCTTTGCAGTTTCTGAAAGGTTTCACGGGATCACTACCTGTGGATGGTGATGGGGGGCGGGGAACCTGGACTCTGGCAGGAGAGACAGACTGTAACCAATTGTGTAATTAGTGATTTAATTACAATTGTGATGAAGACCTACTTATAGTGGTTTTGTAATAACTGATACTCATATGGCATTATCCATGTGCCACCATTGATCTGAGTGCATTAACTCAACCCTCAGAACAACTTTATGAGGACATGTGCTTGTTATCTCCATTTTACTGGAGGAGACTGAGGCACAGCTAAGAGACTTGCCCAAGTGGCAGAGCCAGGGGTCACACCCAGCTGTTATGGCTCTAGACTCCGGAATTATCACTGTCTCCCTGTGATGGGGAAATAGGGTGTGACAGGAGTTGGTAACAGGAGGCCTGATTTGGTCTGGGGGGGATCAGGGAAGACATATGTGAGGAAAAACATTTATGAGAAAATCTGAAGGGTGAGTAGGAGTTACTGTGAGTGGGTAGATTGAGAAGAAAATTCCAGAAAGAAAGAAGGACATGAGCTAAAGCCCCGAGATGGGAAGGACCCGAATGGAAGCCAATGTGGTTAGAGCAAGGAGAGTGAGAGACTGAGGGGGCCGAGAAGCCCCCGTGAGGTAGGCAGGGCCTTAGGGGTAGTTTATGGTTTTGAGTAGGAGTATTGCCAGTGCTTATCTAGCATAACCCTCGGCTATAATGATTTTCACTCAGTGGTTATTGACTGGTGTTTGCTGTTGCTTTGCAAAGGTCCCAGGTTTTGTCCTTTATGCAGGTCTTTGTCTTTTTCTGGCTAGAAGAAGCCTGAAATGGGGCTTAGATCTCCTTCCTGGTGCCCACATCATGCCTTCACATGGGGACCTTTTATCCCACCCAGTGTGAAGTATTTGATTGAGGTCCCTCCTGTGGTCCAAGTCACCCCCCCTCCCCTGCTTGTACCCCTGACCAGGAAACCCCTTCTCCTTCACCATGTAACCTCCCCCTTCATCACCTGGAAGCAGGCCTCCTCCTGGAAGCCTTCCCGAGTAGGGGCAGAAAATGGGAGGAGTTAGACTTGATATAAACACCAGATTCTCTTACTCTTCGGCCTCTGACCTGACCCCCAAATCACCTACCTGCCCCGAGCCTATACAGAAGGTAAATGTAACAAAAGGGTGGTGCCCCAAAGTGATGAAGGGGGGTTGCCTCTGGAGCAGCCTGCCCGGGCTCCATTCTGACTTCCCCATTTGCTTGCTTTATAAACTTGAGCAAGTTACGTAATCTCTCTAAGCCTCAGTGTTCTCATCTATAAAATGGCATCAATAATGCTGCCTTCCTCATAGGATTGTGGTAAAGATTAAATAGATTAAAACTTGCAAGGGAATTAAAGTACCTGGAGTATAGTAAGCATTCAGTTAAACATCCCCTCTTTTATCAGTTGCTGTCAGCTCTGCTCCTTTGCTGCCTATGGTGGCCCTCCATTAACTTGCTATCAATAGTTATGAAAAGTGTTATGTGCCCTTTTTGTGCCTATATTTGTGCTAAATATGCCTAAGGAATTTGCCTTTTGTGCCTATATTTGTGCTGAATATGTCTAAGGAATTTTTGCTAAATATGCCTAAGGAACACATAAGCGAAGGACACAGGCCTTTAAGAGCCATCAGTCCCAGATTATAGCCACCCCATGCCCAGTGACTGAAATGGATGCCAAAAACAATCCATCAGAAACATTTGTGTTTTCTCACCAGGATTGTGATTGTATGCTTGCCTTTCTCTAAGGGGAGCACTGGATTTTTAGTATGCTGCCCTTTCCCTTCCTGGTGTTTGACGCTGGTAGACAGTTTCGCTGTCCCTGTGCCCATGGATGGAATGAGGGGAGGGCGGGAAGTCTATCTCCTGGGAGAAAGTGGTGAAATATGGGCCCTCCCAAGTGGCTAGGCCTGGTCCAGAGAGGGTACGGTGCTTCTCAGGAGCCCAGGACCTAAGTCCAGGCTCCCCTCACAGCCAGGTGCCTGGTCACTCCATTAACTTCCAGCCATGTGCCAAATGTGCTGGACCCTGAGGGGTACCGATACGTGAGTGGTACAACGTGGTTCTTGTCCCCACGGATGTTATAGTCTAGAATGCTAACACAGTAAGTCTCTAGATGGATTCTTTTTTTTTTTTTTTTTTT